CCTCGCGGCGCACCGCGGCCTCCTTCTCCCAGCTTTCTCGCTCCCACTCGCTTCTCCCTTCCTATTTCCCTTCCCCGCCCCGCGGACTTGGAGCCAGGCATCGGGCGGGTTCTGGCCCGGCCTCGCCTCCTCGGGGAGGGGTTTCGAGCCACTGAGGCCGCCCCACAGCCCCACGCTCTGGAACCACCCGCTCCACCAAAACAAACCTGTCCAAAAAAAAAAAAAAAAAGCTGGCTAGGAAGGGGTTTGGGGAAAGATGGCCTGGCCTCTTCCTGCCCTTTCATTCAATATTCCGGTGTCAACAGGAAACCCATTTGCTTGACACTTAAACAAAAGGAGGAGGAACCTGCCCCTAGAGGGACTAGGAGAGATGGGACAGCTGGCCGCCACTGAACTTGGGAACAAACTTGGCTTGAAGTTTGGTCGAGCCTCTCGCAATTTTCTCTTTTCCTCTCTTTTCACTCTTTAAAATCGCGCCTCGCCAGCGCACAGAGGATTTTTAGGGCTTTGAAACTACTCTGTATGATGGTGTAACGGTGGATACATGTCATTATATATTTGTCCAAATCCATAGAATGTACACGGTCAAGAGTGAACTCAGACTTTGGGTGGTTATGATGTGTCAGTGTAGGTTCCTCAGTTGTAGCAGAGATGTTGATAAAGGCAGAGGTTGTGCATGTGTGGGGCAGGGGTGATACGGGACATCTGCAGCTGAAACTAAAACTGCTCTAAAATCGTCTATATTTTTAACTTTTTAATTAAAAATACTTTTTATTTTAAAGAATGGTCGTGATCTCTACAAGAAAACGTGCTTAAGAGCCCCAAACCTGATTATTTATGGAGAGACGGTTTGGTAAAGTGACTCTGGAGTCAGAGACTGTAATTTGAAGCTCTTAGCTGTGAGACCTACCCCAGTGAAAGTTTTTCAGTGCCAAAGGGGACTTTGCAAGAAAGTTATTGCATGTCTGTACCATACACATCTTAAGTTCAGCACTTGCACATACACACTTTCACCCAGAGAGGGGCAGATTCTGGAATCTCAGAAAAAGATACCCACGCAGCAGACAGGAGCATTGCCTGGACATGAACACAGGGGGTAGGGCACCCTGGGGGCACCAACAGGCCTTTATCTTCAGCCTCTGGCTCTGTTTCTGAGAGGCTATAGGAGCTCTGAATGCTCAGCATGTAAGAGAGGAAAGGACAGAGAGAGAGAAGGGTCACTGGACAGAGAATCTCCTGCCCTACCTGAGTGCTGTTTCTTTGCCTTTTCGATAATGGTTGTTGCCACTTGAGAAAATCTTCCTACTTTTAGGCAGACGAAAGCCACAATCAATTTTGTGGAATCGAGGTCAAATCCACAAGTTAAAACTTTATTAATTGCTAAACAGTTAAAAAGTAGACATCTGGAGAACTTGAAATTAAGCTAGGGAAAAAAAAGGTTCTGGACCTTTAGGGTTGTTTTAAGTATGTGGATTCACTATAAGTAAAAGCATATTTGTAAATCACCTTCAAGGATGAGGAATCATTTGGCGGCTGCTACCCTGACAACAGCACAACTTCACTAAGCTGTTGGGGTCAGTCTCTACTATTTTTCAGATTCTTTGTTTGAAAAAGGCTGAAGTGTTCTGGATTTCCCATCCAATCAGAGCTTCGGGAACCCACACACTTCTTTTGGGGTATATGCTCAAACTCACTTTACATTCAGCAAACATTTATGGTAACCGTTGTGTGTCAAAACTACACTAAGTGCTGTGGGGAGAGTCAAAAGAAGGAAAGGAATATTTACCGTGGAGTCCTATGGTAGATGCTAGTCTCATAGGTCTTCTCATTTTTAAATACAACAATATGTCCTGTCTTCCAGTGATAGAGAAAGATCTATCCAGTTTACCACAGAACAAGGCAAAATTTGGTAAATTTTATAATAACGATAAATTCTATAATAACGATATATAACCTTAGATAAGGATGCCAAGATAGTTCAACAGAGAAGGAATTGTCTTTACAAATGGATACTTATAGTCTAAAGAGTGAATTTGAACCTCTACTTCGTACTATACCAAAAATTAACTGAAAATGGATCATAGATTTAAATGTAAGAGCTAGAACTATAAAGAACTTCAAAGAAAACATTAAATCTCTGTGACCTTGGGTTAGGTAATGGTTTCTTATGGTGACTCCAAAATGTATGTGACAAAAGAAAAAAAAAATTGGACCTCACTAAAAAGTATAAACTTTTATTCTTCAAAACTAGCATCAAGAAATTGAAAAGACAGACCTTAGAATGTGAGAAAATATTTATAAATCATATATTTCATAAGGCACTTGTATTCACATTATATAGAGAACTTGGAATTCAACTTTTTTTTTAATTAGTCCAATTTAAAAATGGACCTTATCCAAAGAAGATATACAAATAGACATTCGGAACATGAAAAAATGCTCAACATCATTAATCATTAAGGAAATGTAAATTAAAATCTCAATGAAATACCGCTTCGTACCTATTAGATGGCTAAGATAAAAAAATATATAGACAATAATAAGTGTTAATAAGGATGTTGAGAAATTTCAACCTTCATACATGACTGGTGGGAATGTAAAATGGTGCAAACACTTTGGAAAATAGTTTGGCAGTTCCTCAAAAAATTAAGCATAAAGTTACCATAAAATACAGTTATACTCATAGATATACACCCAAGAGAAATGAAAACATGTCCACACAAAAACTTGTACATGAATGCTCACAATGGCATTATTCATAATAACCAAAAAGTGAATGCAACCAAATGTTCCATCAATTGTTGAATGGGTAAATAAATAATGGCATATCAGTACAATGGAATATTTTTTAGCCATAAAAATGAATGAAATATTGATACCTGCTATAGCTGAATCTAGAAAACATTATGCTAAGTTACAGAAGCCAGAGACACAAGACTATGATGATATATGCTTCTGTGTATATGAAATGTCCAGAATAGGTTAATCCATAGAGACAGAAAGTAGATTAGGGGTTGCTGGAGGACAGAGGATAACAGGGAGTCACAGCTAATTGGTATGAGATTTCTTCTTGAGGTGATGAAAATACTATAAAATCAGATAGTCGTGATGGTTGCACAACTCTGTGAATATACTAAAGGATGAATTTTATGGGGTGTAAATTATATCTCA